CCCGCTCCCTCCGCTGCCGGGAGGATGCGGAGCCGGGCCGGGGGCCGCCGCGGAGCGGTGCCCGCCGAGCGCTGCCCTGGCGGGGGTTTAACGTCCGTCCTGTCTCCGCCAGGGAAGCTGCGCTACGCCAACAACAGCAACTACAAGAACGACGTCATGATCCGAAAGGAGGTAAGGGAGAGCCGGCCGCCGCTGGGCCGCTGCCGGCGTGGAGGCGGAGGTGTGCGGCTCTGCCGGCCTGCGCCTGGAGCGGGTGCTGTGTCGGGAATCGGCAAAGCAAAGCACTCGTGTGGTGGTTTGTGCAAGTAGAGCAACCCCGGCAGCGTGCTAGGTAGCGCTGGGGGTTGTTTTTTCATGTTGGACTATTGTTTGTAGGCCTACGTGCATAAGAGCGTGATGGAGGAGCTGAAGAGGATAATCGACGACAGTGAAATCACAAAAGAAGATGATGCTTTATGGCCTCCTCCTGACAGAGTTGGTCGACAGGTTGGTGTACAGTGTCTTTTCTAATTGCTGTTTTAATTTTCATATGTTAGCTCGTTAGAAGCATAACAACTTTTTCTTCACGTCAGTATTGTTTCTAGCCAAGAGGGAAGCAAATATTATTTTAAAACCTATGCAATGCCTAAGTGGCAATTTAGTTGTGAGAGTTAATACAACTCACAGACCTGCTGCATTCAGTACCTTTGTAATAAAAATGGAAAAGCCATCATCTCAGTACTTAAGTATTTCTGTAACTAAGGTGGTAGTTTGACTTCCTCTATCTTTTATTTTTCAGGAGCTTGAAATAGTAATCGGTGATGAGCACATCTCCTTTACCACGTCAAAAATCGGTTCACTCATTGACGTAAATCAATCCAAGTATGTACTCTGCTTTTTTTATGTTGCTGTTGTTTTTATGTAACTATCTATATTAGAACTTGCTGGCTATTAGGTACTTGTATTTTATATTGTTTCAAAGTAAGATCAGTTCCTGGGGGCACAGGTGCTCTGTGTTCCCGAGTAATGTACCGAACACTTTTAGACTGTGTCATTACATGCTATATTTTCAAACTGACCCAGCAGCTAACTTTACTGCAGGAACCTGCTGTTGTTTTTATGTAACTATCTATATTAGAACTTGCTGGCTATTAGGTACTTGTATTTTATATTGTTTCAAAGTAAGATCAGTTCCTGGGGGCACAGGTGCTCTGTGTTCCCGAGTAATGTACTGAACACTTTTAGACTGTGTCATTACATGCTATATTTTCAAACTGACCCAGCAGCTAACCTTACTGCAGGAACCTGTTAGGCGTATTCAGAGTCTGAACTGAACTGTCATTGGCCTGTCCACACCAGCATCTCTGGGAGAGCCAAGGCTTCTGTATTTCACCTAAGCTGAAAAGACTGGATATCGTGTTTTGTAAATCCACAGTGATGTTACTACTTGCTTTCATCATAAAAATGCACATTTTGTCAAGACTTTTAATTTGCAGACTTGGACTGTAGAATGTTCTTTCAATCCATGCAGGATGAAACAAATCTGTTGATGTCTAACATGACCTCTGAAAAGACTCCCCTATAGGCTTTGTTGGTTTTTTTCATAGGTTAGTTCTATAAACTGCGCTCTCAGAACATCAATGTAACTTTTTTTTTCTGCTTCCTTCTGTTGTGCACTGCAGGGATCCAGAAGGCTTGAGAGTGTTCTACTACCTGGTTCAGGACCTTAAGTGTCTAGTCTTCAGTCTTATTGGACTACACTTCAAGATTAAACCAATTTAAATCAAACAAACTGGTTTATATTGCAGTATCGGGGGGGGGGGGGGGGGGCGC